GAGAGAGAGAGAGAGAGAGAGAGAGGGGGAGAGAGAGAGAGAGAGAGAGAGAGAGAGAGAGAGAGAGAGAGAGAGAGAGAGAGAGAGAGAGAGAGAGAGAGAGAGAGAGAGAGAGAGAGAGAGAGAGAGAGAGAGAGAGAGAGAGAGAGAGAGAGAGAGAGAGGAGAGAGAGAGAGAGAGAGGAGAGAGAGAGAGAGAGAGAGAGAGAGAGAGAGAGAGAGAGAGAGAGAGAGAGAGAGAGAGAGAGACAGACAGACAGACAGACAGAGACAGACAGACACAGAGACAGAGAGAGAGACAGAGACAGGGAGAGAAAGAGAGAGAGAGAGAGAGAGAGAGAGAGAGAGGGAGAGAGAGAGAGAGAGAGAGAGAGAGAGAGAGAGAGAGAGAGAGAGAGAGAGAGAGAGAGAGAGAGAGAGAGAATCCCAAATGTCCTGTATTGGTCTCGGAGTAAAGGGGGGGGGGTCTGGGGATGAGGGAGAGAAAGATAAGAGAGGAGAAGGGGGAGGGGGTGTTAGGAAGAGAGATGAGGGAGGGATGGGAAGGGGAATGGGAGATGAGGGAGAGATATGAGGGAGGGGGGTTAGAGGTGAAGGGGGGGTAAGGGGAAGGGTGAGAGAGAGAGAGAGAGAGAGAGAGAGAGAGAAGAGAGAGGAGAGAGAGAGAGAGAGAGAGAGAGAGAGAGAGAGAGAGAGAGAGAGAGAGAGAAAGACACAGAGAGAGGAGGAAAGGAGGGAAAGGGGGGGAGGGAGAGAGAGAATCAGGAGGGAAAGGGGGGGAGAGGGAGAATCAGTAGGGGGGAGGGAAGAGGGTGAGAGGGGGAGAGGAGGAGAGAGCAGTGGCTAGTTTTTCATGAGATGTGAATAATGGCAACGCCCGTGTTCTCACGCACACACCCACATACACAGATGTATACATGCAGACACGTACACGAATGCTCATACACGCTCACATACACACATACACTTATTGACACACTCATATAAACGCACACACTTACCCATTCATTCACATAAGTACACACACTCACACAAACACACACAAAAACACACAAATACAGACAAACAAACAAACGTACAAATAAACAAATATTCACTCTGCATGTAAACACACATTCACATAAATACACACATACCCTCATACCCTCACACACATACTCACTCACACAGACATGCATATACACACACGAACAAATTTCCACACATTTCCACAAATTCCAATTTAGGTGACGTCATCAAGGTAACCCCTGTCCACAGGTAAGCAACTGAATGACGTCATTACTTGGACTCATTTGCTCTGTTTTCTGAGTGACGTCAGCAGGTAAGGATTCAGTGACGTCATAACCTGAATTTGTTAGATCTGCTTTCTGAGTGACGTCATAAAAGTAACCTAGCATACAGATAAGCAATCAGTGAGGTCACAGTCTGAATTCATTAGCTCTCCGATCTTCTATCAAAGTGACGTCATCAAAGTGATCCCGCACACAGGTAAGCAGTCAATGACGTCACAACCTAAATTACTTAAGTTTTCCATTACCTTTTTTTTCTCGTGTCAGAATATGCAACGTGATCGAGGTGTTATGCAATGCAGGCGGTCATGAAGGTTGTTGCATGAATTAGAATGTGTTAAAAAAGGCAAGAGTCATGATGAAGTGACATGTCATTGCAAATGTTACGACATAACAGGGTAACATACCTTTATGAGTATGCTTTCTTATATAGTGGTATACTGTTGAGGAAAATTGTATATATATGTATAGATAGATAGATAGATAGATAGATAAATAGATAGATAGATAGATAAATAGAGAGATAGATAGATAGAAAAATAGAGAGATAGATAGATAGATAGATAGAGAGACAGATCTATAAATAAATAGAGAGATAGATAGATAGATAAATAGAGAGATAGATAGATATAGATATATTTAGATATTTTCTTCTTCCTTTTCTATTAACGTGTCTATACTGTTGTTTCTTTCTGCTAAGAGTATACTGCTGAAAGTATGATGTGATCTTAATACCACTGTATTCTGTAAAATAGCAAATTAATACAGTATCATACTGGTGTATCTTCAGTATTATATCGATTAGAGATATACCAAGGAAGGCATACTAGCAGATTTTAGTAACAGAGCTAGAAATACCTGACTGCATATAACAACAGCGCAAAACACACCAGTAAAACATACTAGTAAGATGTACACCAGAGGGGAAATAAACACAATAGGTGTATATGATACCAACAGGGTTTTACACCAGCGAGAACACGCCAAAAGGCAAATTACAAGCATATGTGGGAAAAACATCAAAAGAGTGTATGATACCAGCTGAGCATTACACCAGAAAAGACACGCCAAGAGACAAAATACAAACTTACCTAAACACATCACACTAGGAGGAAAAACACCAAAAGTGTGTAGCATAATACCAGCGACAACCCGCCAAAACACAAAATGCAAATATACCAAAAAAAAAAAAAAAAAAAAAGTACAAGATACAAACGCATTATTAGTCTTAAGAGTATATACCAGAGACGAGGATACAATAACAGACCAAAGACACTATACCACCAGAACTCCAGCGAAAGCATACAAACCGAAAAATACAATAGAAATTAAAATATACCTCCACAGGGCATAAAAGGAACATCATACCACCTACAGAAAGAAATGTGAAAAAAAATACATTTTCAAAAATCACTGAACATAGTCTCACACCAAAGGGGGGGCGGGGGTAGGGGGGATGAAGAGGGAGCTTAGTAAGTTAGTTAGGGATAGAGTTGGAAATGAGGGAGGGAGAGGGAGACATAAGGGGAGATACAGAGGGGTAGGGGGTCGGGGAGTAGTGTGGGGGGAAGGGGAAGGGGAGATTGAAAGGTAAATAGTGGAATGGGAATTGCAGAAGGTAAGAACACATGGGGAGGACAAAGCACGGAGAAGGGGGAGGAGGGGGATGGGGAAGGAAGGTAACTACCCTACGCTGCAAACTGACGTAGGGGTAGGAAGTGGGGAAGAGGCAGATGATAGGGAGGGAGGGGAAACGCATGGCAGGAATTAGGTGTTGGGGAAAAGGGGAAAAGAATTACAAGGACGCCATAAGTGAAGAGCGGAGCATATGAGGTCAGCGTAAAAGCGGGAGTGGGAACAGATGGGGAAGAGGGAGGGAGAAGGAAGGAAAGGGAAAGAAAGGAAGGCAGAGGGAGTGAAAGGGAGACAGTGAGGGAGAGAGAGAGAGAGATAAAGAGAGAGAGAGAGAGAGAGAGAGAGAGAGAAAGAGAAAGAGAGAGATAAAGAGAGAAAGAGATGAAGGGAGAGAGAGAGAGAGAGAGAGAGAGAGAGAGAGAGAGAGGGAGGACAGAGAAAGGGAGCAAAGCAGGGAGTACATGCGAGGGAGTAGAGGAGTCATTGCAGAATAGCGTAGGGGAAGGGGGGAGGGGGGAGGGAGGGGAACATAGCAGGACGTAAAGGGGGGGGAGGGGAGTCGAGGAGGGGGAGGGAGGGGGGATGGCTGATCGCTCTCCACTCGGCTGGCTCCATCGACCTACAAAACAGGTCGGCGAGAGGCGGTCGAGGGGAGGAGTGACACGCGCGTCACGGCCTTCCAGGGAGACAACCCCCTTCCCCCCCTCCCCCCCTTCTCTGTTCCCCCCCCTCCCCTCGCTTCTCTTCTCCCTCTTTTCCTCTCCCTTTTCTCCCTTACTCTCGTGTCCCCAGCCTGGTCTTCTGTCCCTGTCTTCCTATTCTTTTTCTATCCCTTTCCTCCCTTTCTCATCTGTTTTCTCTATGTCTCCTCCCTTCCCTTCTCTTTCCCTTTCCTCCCTTTCCCACCTGTCCTTTCTCTGTCTTCTTTTTCCATTCCTCTCCCTTCTCTCCTTTATTCCCTCCCTTCTCCCTTCTCTCTCCCATTCTCTCCATTATCCCCTTCCTTCTCCATTCCTTCCCTTTTCATTCCTCTTCTTCCCTCCCTACTTTCCTCTTCCCTGAACCCCTCCCTCCTTAACTCATTTCCCCTTTCCTTCCCTCAACCCTTCTCTCTCTCTCTCTCTCTCTCTCTCTCTCTCTCTCTCTCTCTCTCTCTCTCTCTCCCTCTCTCTCTCTCTCTCTCTCATTCCCCCCTCTCACAGACACACAAACTCAATCACACACACACACACACACACACACACACACACACACACACACGAACACACACACAATAACACACACACACACACACACACACACACACACACACACACACACACACACACACACACACACACACACACACACGCACGCACACAAACACACACGCACTCAAACACACACACACACACACACACAAACACACACACACACACACGCACACACACACACACACACACACACGAACACACACACACACACACACACACACACACACACACACACACACACACGCACACAAACACTCATATCCACTCACAACATGCCCCATACTAGAACTTACAAGCTTAAGCCTCACGAAGCCATATGTAGGATATTGTGGATCTTTTCCCGTGGCCTTCCTAACCCACTTTTACTCCTCTGTGGATTCTGTGGAATGGTGGCTTGAAATGGCATTAGCTGGTATTATCATTATCGTTGCTATTATTATTGTTATAGTTATTATTATTGTCATTCTTAGTATTATTATTTGTCATCAATGGTTACCATCATCATCATGGTTATCACTCTCACTATCATCGCTTATTATCACACCATCAGAAATCATTAAGATTGTGACGATCACCATCACCGCGTCATTAGGAATCATCACCATCACCACATCGCCAGAGATCATCACCATTACGTGCCCATCACCATCGCCACATCATCACCCAAAAAATCACCATCAAAAATCATTATCAATAGCAAGGCTAATTCAACTCTCCTACTCCCGACGAAGCTCCTGACGAAAGCACGAAAGCACGCTACGTCACCAGAACACAGCGAGGGCCATGTTAATATCTGTCAGCAGATATTGGCGAGTTGGGGCGTGTCAGCTTGATATTTTCATGTGGTAGTTGAAGTCGTAGTAGTTACTCAGGGGGGCGGGTATGTTGTGGTCGTTGCTGACGGTGGTTGGTATGTTGTGGTCGTTGCTGACGGTGGTTGGTATGTTGTGGTCGTTGCTGACGGTGGTAGGTATGTTGTGGTCGTTGCTGACGGTGGTAGGTATGTTGTGGTCGTTGCTGACAGTGATAGGTATGTTGTGGTCGTTGCTGACGGTGATAGGTATGTTGTGGTCGTTGCTGACGGTGGTAGGTATGTTGTGGTCGTTGCTGACGGTGGTTGGTATGTTGTGGTCGTTGCTGACGGTGGTAGGTATGTTGTGGTCGTTTCTGACGGTGGTTGGTATGTTGTGGTCGTTGCTGACGGTGGTAGGTATGTTGTGGTCGTTTCTGACGGTGGTTGGTATGTTGTGGTCGTTGCTGACGGTGGTTGGTATGTTGTGGTCGTTGCTGACGATGGTTGGTATGTTGTGGTCGTTGCTGGTGGTGGTTGGTATGTTGTGGTCGTTGCTGACGATGGTTGGTATGTTGTGGTCGTTGCTGACGGTGGTAAGTATGTTGTAGTAGTTGCTGGTGGTGGTTGGTATATTGTGGTCGTTGCTGACGGTGGTAGGTATGTTGTAGTCGTTGCTGACGGTGGAAGGTATGTTGTAGTCGTTGCTGACGGTGGTAGGTATGTTGAAGTCGTTGCTGACGGTGGTAGGTATGTTGTAGTCGTTGCTGACGGTGGTAGGTATGTTGTAGTCGTTGCTGACGGTGGTTGGTATATTGTAGTCGTTGCTGACGGTGGTAGGTATCTCGTGGTAGTTGCTGACACGGTAGGTATCTTGTGGTAGTTGAAGTACTGGTGATTGTAGTGGTACTAACTGTGGTGTTGTGTGTTATGGATAGTGGTAGTTGCTGAAGATGGTTAGGTATCAAGTGGTTGCTGGTTGTGTCCCATATGGTGACAGCTGTCTTGTGGTAGTTGAAATATTGGTTATGGTATAGCTAATAATGGTAGGTATCTTGTATCGATGTACTAACTATTGTGTTCCTTATGGTGGTACCAGATATTAAGCGGTATGTTGTGGATTGTGGTAGTGACCATGAATTATTGATTTACCGGTAACTATGTCATTTATGGTAACAGGTATCATGTGGTAGCTGGAAATCCTGGTTGCTAGCTGTGGTAGGCATCATATCCGATAGTTCAAACACTCGCTATGGTATCAATGAGGATGGTAGTTACGGTAGTTACTGATGGTGGTAGCTACTCTATAACATCATAAATACCGGTTATTGTGCTGTTAATGGTGAATTTAGGAGGGGGAGGGGAAGGGGAGGGGAGAGGGGGGGGAGGCGTGTAATGTGCGATTCGCCTTGCTTTTGAAACTCAAAGTCGAAATATATCGCTCAGGACATTTTGTACTTTGGATTTCAGCCGAGCGACGCCGACCGTGGGAGGTGCGAGGGTGTCCCTTCCTCTTCCTCTTCTTGGAATCCTCCGTTTCTTCGTATTGTCTTTTCTCCTCCTCTATCTTTTCAGTCTTCTTCTTCTGTTTCTTCTTCCATTTACTCGTACTCTTTCTTCTTCCTCTTCTTCTTGTTTTCTTTCTTTTTTTCATTTTTATTTTCCTTGTTTTTGTTCTCGTTCTTTTTGTTCTTCTTCTTCTTCTTCTTCTTCTTCTGTTCTTCTTATTCTTCCTTTTTTTCCTCCTCCTCCCCCTCTTCCTCGTCGTCTTCTTTTCCTTTCTTCTCTTCCTCCTACTCCTCCTCGTCCTCCTTTTTCCTCTAGCAACAGGACATAGCAGACAGTTCCTCCTCCTCAATATCCTCCTCCTCCTCCTTCTCCTCCTCCACTTTTTCCTCTTCTCCAACCTCACACTTCAAGGACTATCATTACCAATTGTGTTTCTTCCCCCTTCTCCTCCTCCACCACTTCTCCTTCTCCTCCATCTTCCTGTTTTCTCTGAACTTCCATCACTACTCCCCCCCTTCCCTTTTCATCATTCTCCCTCCTGTTCTCTTACTGTGTCCTTCTCTTCTTCTCTTCCTACTCCTCCTCTATCCTCCTCTCTCTACTACGCTATTTCCTCCGGCCCCACCACTACGTCCTCCTTCTTCCCTCTCTCCCATCCCTTCTCCAACTCCTTCTCCACCACCTCCTCCTCCTCCTTCCCCTTCTCTTCTCCTATCTTCCCTCCTCCTACCGTCCTCCTCATTTACCCTTCTCAACCCCATCTTCTCTCCTCTTCCACCTCCCTCTTCCCCTCTTCCCTCCTCTTCGACCTCCTCTTTCCCTCCTCCATCATCACCGCAAGCTCCTTCTCAACCATTCTCCTTCCCTCCTTCCTCCTCCAACAACTCCATCACCATCCCTCCTCCCTCAACCGCCTCGTATTCCAAATTCTTATCCCTTCTCTCACCCTTCCTCCCTCCCTCCCTGTCTTAATCTCCCTATCTCTCCCCCTCAACCTCCCTTCCTCTCTCCCTCACCCTCCCTCC